TTCTGACTGGTGTGAGGTGGTATCTCATTGACGTTTTGATTTGGATTTCCCTGATGCCGAGCAATATTGAGCTCTTTTTCATGTGTCTGTTGGCCATTTGGATGTCTTCTTTGGAAAAATGTCTGTTCATGTCTTCTGCCCATTTCTTGATTGGATTCGTTGTTCTTTGGGTGTTGAGTTTGATAAGTTCTTTATAGATTTTGGATACTAGCCCTTTATCTGATATGTCATTTGCAAATATCATCTCCCATTCTGTCAGTTGTCTTTTGGTTTTGTTGACTGTTTCCTTTGCTTTGCAAAAGCTTTTTATCTTGATGAAGTCCCAATAGTTCATTTTTGCCCTTGCCTCCCTTGCCTTTGGCGATGTTTCTAGAAAGAAGTTGCTGCAGCTGAGGTCGAAGAGGTTGCTGCCTGTGTTCTCCTTTAGGATTTTGATGGACTCCTGTCTCACATTGAGGTCTTTCAACCATTTGGAGTCTATTTTTGTGTGTGGTGTAAGGAAATGGTCCAGTTTCATTCTTCTGCATGTGGCTGTCCAGTTTTCCCAACACCATTTGAAGAGACTGTCTTTTTTCAGTTGGACATTCTTTCCTGCTTTGTCAAAGATTAGTTGACCGTAGAGTTGAGGGTCCATTTCTGGGCTCTCTATTCTGTTCCATTCATCTGTGTGTCTGTTTTTGTGCCAGTACCATACTGTCTTGATGATGACAGCTTTGTAATAGAGCTGGAAGTCCAGAATTGTGATGCCGCCAGCTTTGCTTTTCTTTTTCAACATTCCTCTGGCTATTCGGGGTCTTTTCTGGTTCCATACAAATTTTAGGATTATTTGTTCCATTTCTTTGAAAAAAGTGGATGGTATTTTGATGGGGATTGCATTGAATGTGTAGGTTGCTCTAGGTAGCATTGACATCTTCATAATACTTGTTCTTCCAATCCATGAGCATGGAACGTTTTTCCATTTCTTTGTGTCTTCCTCAATTTCTTTCATGAGTATTTTCTAGTTTTCTGAGTACAGATCCTTTGCCTCTTTGGTTAGATTTATGCCTAGGTATCTTATGGTTTTGGGTGCAATTGTAAATGGGATCAACTCCTTAATTTCTCTTTCTTCTGTCTTGTTGGTGTATAGGAATGCCACTGACTTCTGTGCATTGATTTTACATCCTGCCACTTTACTGAATTCCTGTATGAGTTTTAGTAGTTTTGGGGTGGAGTCTTTTGGGTTTTCCACATAAAGTATCATATCATCTGCAAACAGTGAGAGTTTGACTTCTTCTTTGCCAATTTGGATACCTTTTATTTCTTTTTGTTGTCTGATTGCTGTGGCTAGGACTTCTAGCACTATGTTGAATAGCAGTGGTGACAGTGGACATCCCTGCCGCGTTCCTGACCTTAGGGGGAAAGCTCTCAGTTTTCCCCATTGAGAATGATATTCGCTGTAGGTTTTTCATAGATGGCTTTTATGGTATTGAGGTATGTACCCTCTATCCCTATACTCTGAAGAGTTTTGATCAAGAAAGGATGCTGTACTTTGTCAAATGCTTTTTCTGCATCTATTGAGAGGATCATATGGTTCTTGTTCTTTCTTTTGTTAAGGTATTGTATCACGTTGATTGATTTGCGGATGTTGAACCAACCTTGCAGCCCAGGGATAAATCCCACTTGATCGTGGTGAATAATCCTTTCAATGTACTGTTGGATCCTATTGGCTAGTATTTTGGTGAGAATTTTTGCATCCATGTTCACCAGGGATATTGGTCTGTAGTTCTCCTTTTTGATGGGGTCTTTGTCTGGTTTGGGGATCAAGGTAATGGTGGCCTCATAAAATGGGTTTGGAACTTTTCCTTCCATTTCTATTTTTTGGAACAGTTTCAGAAGAATAGGTATTAATTCTTCTTGAAATGTTTGGTAGAATTCCCCTGGGAAGCCATCTGGCCCTGGGCTTTTGTTTTTTGGGAGATTTTTGATGACTGCTTCAATTTCCTTAGTGGTTATAGGTCTGTTCAGGTTTTCTATTTCTTCCTGGTTCAGTTTTGGTAGTTGATACATCTCTAGGAATGCATCCATTTCTTCCAGGTTATCTAATTTGCTGGCATAGAGTTGCTCATAATATGTTCTTATAATTGGTTGTATTTCTTTGGTGTTGGTTGTGATCTCTCCTCTTTCATTCATGATTTTGTTGATTTGGGTCATTTCTCTTTTCCTTTTGATAAGTCTGGCCAGGGGTTTATCAATCTTACTTATTCTTTCAAAGAACCAGCTCCTAGTTTCGTTGATCTGTTCTACTGTTCTTTTGGTTTCTATTTCATTGATTTCTGCTCTGATCTTTATTATTTCTCTTCTCCTGCTGGGTTAGGCTTTATTTGCTGTTCTTTCTCCAGCTCCTTTAGGTGTAGGGTTAGGTTGTGTACTTGAGACCTTTCTTGTTTCTTGAGAAAGGCTTGTATTGCTATATACTTTCCTCTTAGGACTACCTTTGCTGCATCCCAAAGATTTTGAATAGTTGTGTTTTCATTTTCATTGGTTTACATGAATTTTTTTAATTCTTCTTTAATTTCCTGGTTGACCCATTCATTCTTTAGTAGGATGCTCTTTAGCCTCCATGTATTTGAGTTCTTTCCAACTTTCCTCTTGTGATTGAGTTCTAGTTTCAAAGCATTGTGGTCTGAAAATAGAGAATGATCCCAATCTTTTGATACCAGTTGAGACCAGATTTATGACCTAGGATGTGATCGATTCTGGAGAATGTTCCATGGGCACTAGAGAAGAATGTGTATTCTGTTGCTTTGGGATGGAATGTTCTGAATATGTCTGTGAAGTCCATTTGGTCCAGTGTGTCATTTAAAGTCTTTATTTCCTTGTTGATCTTTTGCTTAGATGATCTGTCCATTTCAGTGAGGGGGGTATTAAAGTCCGCCACTATTATTGTATTTTTGTCGATGTGTTTCTTTGCTTTTGTTATTAATTGCCTTATATAATTGGCTGCTCCCATGTTAGGGGCATAGATATTTACAATTGTTAGATCTTTTTGTTGGATAGACCCTTTAAGTCGGATATAGTGTCCTTCCTCATCTCTTATTACAGTCTTTGGCTTAAGATCTAATTTGTCTGATATAAGGATTGCCACCCCAGCTTTCTTTTGGTGTCCATTAGCATGGTAAATGGTTTTCCACCCCCTCGCTTTCAATCTGGGGTGTCTTTGGGTCTAAAATGAGTCTCTTGCAGACAGCATATCGATGGGTCTTGTTTTTTAATCCAATCTGATAGCCTGTGTCTTTTGATTGGGGCATTTAGCCCATTTACATTCAGGGTAACTATTGAAAGATAGGAATTTAGTGCCATTGTACTGCCTATACGGTGACTGTTACTGTATATTGTCTGTGTTCCTTTCTGGTCTATGTTGCTTTCAGGCTCTCTCTTTGCTTAGAGGACCCCTTTCAAGATTTCTTGTAGGGCTGGTTTCGTGTTTGCAAATTCCTTTAGTTTTTGTTTGTCCTGGAAGCTTTTGATCTCTCCTTCTTTTTTCAGTGACGGCCTAGCTGGATATAGTATTCTTGGCTGCCTATTTTTCCCATTTAGTGCTCTCAATATATCCTGCCAGCCCTTTCTGGCCTGCCAGGTCTCTGTGGATAGGTCTGTTGCCAGTCTAATGTTTCTACCATTTTAGGTTACATATCTCTTCTCCCGAGCTGCTTTCAGGATTTTCTCTTTGTCTCTGAGACTCGTAAGTTTTACTATTAGATATCGGGGTGTTGACCTATTTTTATTGATTTTGAGAGGGGTTCTTTGTGCTTCCTGGATTTTGATGCCTGTTTCCTTCCCCAAATTAGGGAAGTTCTCTGCTATAATTTGCTCCATTATACCTTCTGCCCCTCTTTCTCTTTCTTCTTCTTCTGGGATCCCAATTATTCTAATGTTGTTTCATCTTATGGTATCGCTTATTTCTCAAATTCTGCCCTCCTGATCCAGTAGTTGTTTACCTCTCTTTTTCTCAGCTTCTTTATTTTCCATCATTTGGTCTTCTATATTACTGATTCTCTCTTCTGCCTCATTTATCCTAGCAGTTAGTGCCCCCATATTTGATTGCACCTCATTAATAGCCTTTTTGATTTCTACTTGGTTAGATTTTAGTTCTTTTACTTCTCCAGAAAGGGTTTCTCTAATACCTTCCATGCTTTTTTCAAGCCCAGCTAGTATCTTTAAAGTGATGATTCTGAACTCTAGATCTGACATCGTACTAATGTCCGTATTGAGTAGGTCCCTGGCAGTCGGTACTACCTCTTGTTCTTTTTGTTGAGGTGATTTTTTCCGTCTTGTCATTTTGTCCAGAGGAGAATAGATTAATGAGAGAACAAAATGCTAACAGGGTAACAACGTTCCCAGAAAATATACTCTAAACAAATCAGAAAAGACCTGAAGCAGTGGGAAAAGAAAGGGAAAGAGAGAAAAAAGAAAAAGAAAAAAAAAAAAGGAAAAGAAAAAGAAAAAGATAAAAACAAACAAAAACAGAAAAAAAACAAAAAAAAACACCAGAATATGATCAAATATGATCAGGCTGGTATATAGATCAGTGCCACACACTAGATCTTGGGTGTATTTGGTCTGTTAGAAGAAAGTGCCTCCCAAAATTTTAAAGAAAGAAAAACTTATATATGTACAGAAATAAGGGTTGATAAGATGAAGGGATGGAATATGACTGTTAAGATGGAAATTATAAAAAATTTTATAAAAGGAATTGATAAGAAGTTGTTTGAAAAAAGAAAGAAGAGGATTTAAAAAAAGAGAAAAAAAGGGAGAGAATGTGATCAGGCAGGGGAGTAGAAAAAAACCATACAATAGAGATTTAGGGTATATTTTGATCTGTTAGAAGAAACTATCTCAAAATTTTAAAGAGAGAACAACTTATATACATATGCCAAAAATACGGGTAACTACTATGAAGGGATAGAATATGACTCTAAAAATGAAAAATAAAAAAAATAAATTTTTTTTTTAAAAAGGGATTGATAAGATGTTGGTTGAAAAAGGGAAAAAGAAAAATTTAAAAAAAGTTTAAAAAAAATTAACTTTGAAAGACTAAAGAATCATGGGGAAAAAGCCATGAATTCTATGTGCAGTATTCCCCTAGTGCTGGAGTTCTGCCATTCTCATTGATTGGTTAACTTGGTCTTGGCCGGCTGTTCTCACTGATCTTCTGGGGGAGGGGCCTGTTGCCGTGGTTCCCAAGTGTCTTTGCCGGAGGCGGAATTGCCCCGCCCTTGCCCGGTCCGGGCTAAGTAATCTGCTCGGGTTGCTCTCCAGAACTTTTGTTCCCTGCGAACTTTCCGTACCACTTTGGAGGCCGAGAGTGAAAATGGCGGCCTCCCAATCTCTGCCTTGGAGGAGCCGAGAACTCGGGGCCCACTCCTCAGTGAGCACCCAGAGAAAAGCCGCCAGTCCCTCCCGTCTCCCCGGTCTCCGGCCACACTCCGTGCTCACCCAGCCTGTGACCGCGTGTTTCTATCTCTGGCACCCGACCCTGGGTGGAGTCTCCAAACCCAGCAGATCCCTGCGGTGCGCTCCCACACCGCTCCTCCCGGGAGAGGAAGGGGAGTCTCCCCGGATCTGCCGCTTGTTGGGTCCCTGCTGGAGGAGCAGGGGCCCGACTGTGCCGCGGATCACGGTTTATGACAACCCCAAGCTGAGAGCCCGCGCCTGGGCTCTGCCTCTGCAGCCGCTTCCCTGCTCCGATACCTGGGAGCTCTGCTGCACTCAGGTACTCCCAGTCTTTCTGTGACCCCAAGGGTCCTAAGACCACACTGTCCCACGAGGGTTCCACCCCCCGCTTAGCCACCGGAGTGACGTCCCTCAGCGGAGCCGACTTCGAAAAGTTCCGATTCTGTGCTCCCTGGCTCTGTCACTTGCCAGAAGCGGCTGACGGAGGCCCCTCCCCCGCCATCTATCCTCCTGAATATCGCCTCGGATTCACTTCTCCGCACGTCCTACCTTCCAGAAAGTGGTTGCTTTTCTGTTCAGAGAGTTGTTGTTCTTCTTTTCTTCGATCTCCTGTTGAGTTCGTAAGTGTTCAGATTGGTTTGATCCCTATCCAGCTGACTTCCTGAGACCAGACGAAATCCAGGTCTCCTATTCCTCTGCCATCTTGCTCCGCCCCGTGTCCTTTAATTTTTGAACTGAATTTCTTGTAGGAAACATATTGTTGTCGGTCTTTGAAAATTACAGTTGACAATTTTAGCTTTTCATTGGGGTCTTTAGACCATTTCCTTTTACAGATATTATATAGATTTAAATTATCTTGCTATTGGTTTCATCATGTCTCCTTTGTTCTTTCCCCTTTTTCTCTCTTCTTTGAAATAACTGAATTTTTAGAAATGGTTTTATTTGAAACCTTTTTTGGTTTACTGGTGTTAGCTATAGCTGTTTTTTAAGTGCTTGCTTCAGGGGTTGTACTACACAACTTACCAGTCTACCTTCATGTGACTTGACACTTAACTCATATAGAGCATCAGACCCTTCCTTTCCATGTGTGCTTCCATTTCTCCACTCCTGCCCTTTGCTATCATTATTATAGGTTTACTATTACATATGCTATAAACATATGTACTAGACTGTTAGTTTCTTAAACAGCCCACTGTATTTTAAAGAGATTTGCAAATAGGAAGTCATTTTTAATTTACACATGTACTTATTCTGGTGCTCTTAATTCCTTTGTGTAGATCAGGAGTCTCCAACCTACAGAACATGAGCCAAATACAGCCTACCATCTGTTTTTAGATGAAGTATAATAGGAATGCAGCCACACCTATATTTAGGTACTTTTGATCCAACAAGGACATATTGGAATAGCTGTAACAGAAACAGTATGGCCTACAAAGAATAAAATATTTACTATCTGTTCCTTACATAAAAAGTTTGCCAACCTTGCACACACAGTCACATTCTCATCACATCTGAATTAGTATAAAATTTGGTATCTGAAACATAACTGAAAAGTCAATTTTGTAGTCAAATATTAGGCACTGGTAACACAAGACTGGTCTCAATTTGAAGAGTAAAACTAGGAATAAATGGGAGTCAGTAGGTCTTGTACTCATGAGGAAAACATATGAAATATGTGTTTTGTTACTATTCAGTTTCAAAGTATAATATTTTATTATATGGTAAAAAAAATTTATGATACGGGCATTAAGATATAACTGAGGTGTAAAAGACCCACCAGTTTTACTTGATACACATTCATAAGTGGAAGTAGCAATATACCCCTGGCTGGCTACAGGGGTGTAGACAAAAGGAAAAGTGTGTATCTTAAGAAGTCCTGGGATCAAACCTCTGTGTTTTTTTTTTTAAGATTTTATTTATTTGACAGCGAGAGAGAGAACGCAAGCAGGGGGAGTGGGAGAGGGAGAAGCAGGCTTGCCGCCGAGCAGGGAGCCCGATGCGGGACTCGATGCGGGGCTCGATCCCAGGACCCTGGGATCATGACCTGAGCTGAAGGCAGACGCTTAATGACTGAGCCACCCAGGCGACCCGTCCTGTCAGATAGTTTTGACAAATGGTATTTACTATCTTTCCTTTAATTCATTACCCCACCCCACCCCTGCGTTCTCTTGGTAATGGTAAGGCTACCATAAAGAAATATGTGCATTCTCCAAACAGGTCATCATTATTTTGGATCTATTACATATCATCTTATGTACTCTGGGGAATTTTGTTAAAATTTTTTAAATTGTAACTCTAAGGAGTCCCAGATTTTAAATGTCTCCAGTAGAAACTTAATATTTCACCAAGCCACATACTAATTGCGGTAAATATGTTCCCATTCTGACAATCTTCTCCTTCTGTTTCCTCTACCCATTTGCCCTTATTTGTATTTGCATGATACATTTTCAGTGATTCTGCTCAGATATCACCTCATCATATGGGCATTGCCAGAAAACTGTTTAAATTAGGAAACCCTACAAGTCTATCACTGTACATGAACATACTTATGAACTTTGCATTATCATATTTTATGCTTATAGACTTATCCCTTATGGAATATAAGTAAACATGTAATTTTGTTTGTGGAGCCAAATTCCCTATTCCTGTAACTTTCTTAGTGTTCTGAACATTTTGTCATAAATTCTCATGCTATATTTTGTTCACATTGTGAATTTTAGGCAACACGTTCCAAACAGCTCTAACTCATCAGTGAAGGTTTTTTTTTTTTTTTAAGATTTGTTTATTTGAGGGGGGGAAGGGCAGAGAGAGGGGGCGAATCTTGGGCACACTCCCCGATGAGTGCAGAGCCCGATGTGGGACTCTGTCTCGTGACCCTGAGATCATAACCTGAGCCAAAATCAAAAGCCAGACGCTTAACTGACTGAGCCACCTAGGCGCCCCTGAAGGGATGTTTTAATAAAGCTTTTCTAAGCTACAAAATTTTAAATTCAGGAACCCCTCTCAAATGTTCCATTCTACTCTCAATACAAAATATGAATCTTATTTGTCAGGTAGGACAGTTTTTGAGTGACAGACCTCCTGGAAAACAGTGGCTGAGACAAGTAGGTGGTTTATCATTTCCCAAGTAACAGGAAGCCCAGAGTTGTAGTGTTCGTTGTAGTGCTGGATGTGACAGGTCCCCTGGGCAGTTCTCTGCCTGCTCTACCTCCGTTAGCAGCCCTCTCTCCTTACAGCAGGACAGCCACTGTATGACCAAGGGTGAATGGTGAGGGGCAAAGCCCTTTTCATCATTAGGTTTTGTCTTGCTTACATGGAAATGATAATCCCAGTAAGTTTTTCCAATCAGCTAGAAATTTTAATAATGCAATTTTAATAAGGATATTAGGGATTTTTCAAATTTCATATTCACGCCTAAACAACAGAAGGTAAAAGAAAAAGGTGTTAGAGAAAACATTTTGCAGACCAAATTAAAAATACCCCTTATTAATATTAAATGACAAGGTAGTCAAGGGTAACTGTGGGGAGAGACAGATTTTATCAGCGAACTTTGTTCTTTATCCTGAGTATGTTCTGTGCAACCCATGACTTGATAGGTGTTCCAAATGAGATTCAACAATTACTAGTTCAGCATTTTCTAACTTAAAGATTTATTTCCTTTGAAATTTAAGTTAATTTATTTATCTGAACCTAAAACTAAAATAATTTGCCAAGTTTCAATACAGATATTCTGATTCTAGTATCTTGGTAGAGAAATGAAAGGACTGATTTTGAGATTCCATTCATTCCATTCTACCTTAAAGTGAGAGATCTACAACAGGCTTGTAGTTGGGACATATTCTATCACTTCCACATCTATTTTTCCACATATATTTTAATATTAGACTGTAACTTAATAGCAATATAATTGTGACATCATTAAGTTTATTAAAAATACCTTAGATAATTTATCTAAACAGTATTTCACCATTTTCAACAATCATATTGTGCAGCGGGGTCTGTATGTGTACCAGGGAAATGAAGGTAGTGTGTTAGCATAAGGAAGATTGTGGTCTTTTCCCTACCAAGTCAGGAGTAAACATTCAGTTAGTCTGACTCCATTTCTGATGTCTGACGAACAATACCTGTTAAGCCTCATTATAACCTCTTACTATGCTGCCCATCTGGGCAAGGCAAGCTAATAAAGCCCAAGTGCCCCTTCCCTTGGCATTAGTTGAAAGTGCACACCGTAAGTGAGTGCCATCACCCCAGCCCCACATAGTAACCATCATAACAAACCAGTCATCATTCCCTGCGTTCTCTAGCCATTTTTAGAACAACCTGAGGAGGTCTATCCTGCTCTCCCCAGAAAGCATCATTATGTAATAAACGTTCTCGTAACACTTTATTGTATGAAGTCCTCATTCATGACATCCAAACATCCTCTTCCAGCAAAGTAAGCACAAGTGCAAACTAGCAAAAAATGTTTTAGAGGGTAAATATCGGAGATTGCTAGTTATCAAAAGATTCCCATTGTGTCAATATTTGTTCTTGAGAGTAAACTCAACGAACACTGATCTTTTCAACTTATTTCCCTGAGCACTCCAGCACAAAAGAGATTATCTTTATCCTTATTTCCGACATTTTATTTCCTAATACTTTTCATATGCTTACTATTTTTCTATTTTCATTTAATGTAAAGGTGCAACCCATGGGTCTCATTTCAGCACAAAAGAAAGGCATGTAGAAATGTAATCATCATACAGTGTGTGTTCATGAACAGGGAGGCAGGTTTTAGAGGGTGAGAGTTTGAAATTGTGTAACTTTCAAGTTGAAATTATGAATATGAATTTCCAAGACTGTAAGTTGTGTGAATCTAACATGGAAAAAAGTTGTTAGGGATGACATTCAACCTATGGAGCCCAAGGATGTATTATTAGTGTTCATTATGAAATGCCCCAATGAGGTGTGGGATACACTTGGGCTAATAAAAGGCACGTGGTTCATTCAGTGTTACAAAAAAAGGTTTCTATTTTACTTATTTAGATATGAGAATTTATAATATCCTAAATAAAATGGTATCAAAACACAATTTCAGTGGCCAAATTTGAATCCTTCACAAGCATACTACTCTGGTTCTTTTGATTAAAATGTCCTCTAGAACTTTCTCTTCAGTTTCCAAAAATAAGACTAATTTCTACTAATCTGTGATACACAACTATTACCTTTCAAAAGAGGGAGAGATCATCATTCCCCCTCCATTTTTTCTACCACATATGCCATCCCTAGTAACCTGTCCTTCTACTCACATGAAAGTCTCATTCTCTCAATGTCCTGGCCTACTGTTTCATCATCATCCTTTCCTGTAATCATCATCAACAAAGGCCCTCAGTCATACCAACAAATCTAGAGAAGAGGCTGTGATCACAGAAAACATGGCAATTTAGATAACAGTTTTACACTATTCCCTGCCACTCCCTATGCTCTCAAACTTACACCCTACTGTATCTTAAAATTAGTGTCCTAGTTTTTCCAGGTTACATAGGTATGAATAAGCCCCAGCTAATGAACTAGGTCCTTTCACCTTACTGATCCCTTCTGAGACCATTATGGTGACACATGAAATGCATGTAATTAAAGTATAACATCAGTGGGTCCCAAACTTCAGGTTGTAAGTCATCAATAATAATGCAGCCTCAGGAAACCTCAAGTAATTGAGTAAAAAAAATTTACAGTGACTTCTGGCTGGCTCAGTCAGAAAAGCATGCAACTCTTGATCTTGGGGTTGTGAGTTTGAATTCCACATTGGGTGTTGATATTACTTAAAATATCTTTAAAAATGGTAAGCTGAAGATAATTAGTAGGTCTTTCCACAGATATCCTTGTTCTACTGATACACATCATCTCATCAGTTTTAAATAATTTAAATTTTCTGTGGAATTTAACATCTAAGATTGGTTAATTCTCAAAATAGACTTACTTCCCCTAGTATGAATTTTCTTATTGTAGTCCATTGAGAGAATTGGCTAAATAAATTATCACCTTCATTATATTTGTAATGTTTCTGTCCAGTATGAATTCTTTGGTGTTTCCTGAGGTAAGGACCTTGACACATTTATATGGTTTCCATCTCATATGAATTCTTTCATGACCACAAAGTTGTACTTTTTTTTTTTAATCACTGGAAATTTGTACCTCTTAATCACATTCCCCTATCCCCACCCCCCAAGTTGTACATTTTTTATAAAGCTGATCACACTCACTACATTTGTAAGGTTTCTATCTAGTAAGAACTGTTATGTTCCACAACGTATAAACTTTGGATAAGCCTTGCCATACATTACATTTGTGTGCTTTCTTTTAGAGATTTATATTCTGATATCAAGAGAGGTGTAAACCCCTGGTTACAGGCTTTGCCACATTAGTTTCATATGGTTCCTCTCCATAATGGAATTCTGATGTTGAATAAGGCTTGAACACTTGCTTAATCATTTTATTTGTAAGGTTTCTTGCTACTGTGAGTTCTTTGATGATCCCCAAAGCTTGAGCTTTGAATAAAACCACTGCCACACATACTAGATTTATAATGTTTCTTTTCACCATGTATTTTCTGATGCCTGTTAAGTTTTGCAAACTGGGTAAAAGCTTTGCCACACTCATTACATGTATAAGGTTTCTCTCCGGTGTGGATTTTCTTATGCTGAGTAAGATGTGAACGCTCCGTAAAGGCTTTGCCACACTCATTACATTTATAAGGTTTCTCTCCAGTATGAGTTCTCTCATGACCCCAAAGGTGAGAACGTTTAATAAAAGCCTTATCACATTTATTACATTTATAAGGTTTTTCTCCTGTGTGAATTCTTTGATGTTCCATAAGGCTTGAACTTTGGATAAAAGCCTTGTCACAAACATCACATTTGTGTGGTTTCTCTCCAGTGTGTATTTTCTGATGCCTAGTAAGGTTTGCAAATTGGGTAAAAGCTTTGCCACACTCATTACATTTGTAAGGTTTCTCTCCAGTATGGATTTTTCTATGTTGAGTAAGATTTGAACGCTCAGCAAAGGCTTTGCCACACTCAATACATTCATAAGGTTTCTCTCCAGTATGAGTTCTCTCATGACCCCATAGGTGTGACCGTCTGATAAAAGCCTTATCACATTTATTACATTTATAAGGTTTTTCTCCTGTATGAATTCTCTGATGTTCTATAAGGCTAGAGCTTTGGATAAAGGCCTTGCCACATACCTTACATTTGTGTGGTTTCTCTCCAGGATGGGTATTCTGATGTCTAATGAGGTGTGAGCACTGCTTAAAAGCTTTGCCACACTCATTACATTTGTAAGGTTTCTCTCCGGTATGGATCTTCTTATGCTGAGTAAGGCCTGAACGTTCAGCAAAGGCTTTGCTGCATTCATTACATTTGTAAGGTTTCTCTCCAGTATGAATTCTCTCATGACTCCAAAGGTGTGAACGTTGGATAAAGGCCTTACCACATTCATTACATTTGTAAGGTTTCTCTCCAGTATGCATTCTCTGATGATTTGCAAGGTTTGAATTTTGACTACAGACCTTGCCACATACGTTACATTTATATGGTTTCTCTCCTGTATGGACTCTCTGATGTCTAGTGAGGTTCGAACACTGGTTAAAGGCTTTGCCACACTCATTACATTTGTAAGGTTTCTCTCCAGTATGGATTTTCTTATGTTGAGTAAGATGTGAACGCTCTGTAAAGGCTTTGCCACACTCATTACATTTGTAAGGTCTCTGTCCTGAATGAATTCTCTCATGACTCATGAGATTTGAACTTTTGCTAAAAGCCTTCCCACAGTCATTACAGTTGTAAGATTTTCCTCTAGTGTATGCTCTTCTGTATTGTGCAGGTAACAAAGGATATTTTAAAATCTTCCTGTATTTATTCCAAATGTTTTTGATACTAGATGGAATTCTCTGAAGTGGTGAAACAGAGGAACCATTGTTGACAGATTTCTCAACTTGATTACATTCATACATTTTTTCCTCAGTATGAAATCTCTGCAGTTCAGCCAGGTGTCCCTGCAAACTTAATCCAATTCTATTTTCCAAACAGTTTATGTACCAGTTTCCAGGACCACTTATGTTATTTTCCAGTTTTAACAAATGCCTTACAAATGGCTCGTCATGCATGAAATATTGGTATGTATTATTTTTTACAGTAATACTCTGCTTTTGAGGAAAAGTAACTGAGGATTTATTAAGCTGTTGATCTTTTCTATGAATGAGATTTTTGTTATGTGTCAAAGGCACTTCTTTGTAATTTCTTGCATCGTATCTCCAGTGACTCTCAAACTCATGCATATTTTCCCAGACTTCCTTGAGATCAAAATCCTTGAGGCTATGGCTTTCATTTCTCTCCAGTATCACTAAGTGGTATAATTCTCCTTTATTAATGTCCTCTATTGGTGATAAGTCCTTGATTGCAAATCCAGCAGAAAGGCTTCCTATCAAACAGAAGGTAAATATTTTATACTGAATTACATACTCCTACAAAAAAAATGCTTATAATGAACCTAAGAAATTTCTCAAGCACAGTCTTCAAACACTATTGTAATATACAAACACTACTGTAATATATAATGTTTTTAAGTTTTCTTTTTATAAATTTTTCCATATTATTTTCTCTGATCTTAAGGTAAGTTTTCAAAACATACCTTATATACTATACATATTTTTTGGCCAGACACCTGGATAATTGATACTTCATGATTAGGGAGCTGATCTATATACTGGCTATTACATAACTGTACATGAGATCATAATTGAGGTTTCTGTCTTCCCTAATTTTTTTATTTTTTTATTTTTTATATTTATTTATTTGACAGAGAGAGAGCGAGAGCAGGAACACAAGCAGGGGGAGTGGGAGAGGGAGAAGCAGGCCTCCCACCGAGCAGGGAGCCTCATGCGGGGCTCGTTCCCAGGACCCCGGGATCATGACCTGAGCCGAAGGCAGACGCTTAACAACTGAGCCACCCAGGCGCCCCTGTCTTCCCTAATTCTTAATCTTTATAAAAATGTGTTTACCTGGGGGCGCCTGGGTGGCTCAGTTGGTTAAGTGACTGCCTTCGGCTCAGGTCATGATCCTGGAAGTCCCTGGATCGAGTCCCGCATCGGGCTCCCTGCTCGGCGGGGAGTCTGCTTCTCCCTCTGGCCCTCCCCCCTCTCATGTGCTCTCTCTCATTCTCTCTCTCTCAAATAAATAAATAAAATCTTAAAAAAAATAAAATAAAATAAAATAAAAAATAAAAATGTGTTTACCTGAACCTGATATTTCATAATTCAGTGATTCTCAACATGTCTTTCATTTCTCCTACTGTGTGTTCCTTATGGAATGTAAATTCTTTCTTTAGTTCTCAGGGAAGAATTCTTTAGAATTCCAGAGACTGTTATTTTGTGTAACTGGTTACTTAACCTGCTAGATTTATCAACTGTTTAATTGTAACACACAGATTTCTTAAAGTATTTTTTTTCTTTCATCATATCCGCATACATTATTATTAAACACCAGATCACACTGCTGTATTGAGCAAGCTGTACTGCGTATGAACAGGGGTCTTTCCTTATGTAGGTAAGGCAGTGTGGGGAGGGGCAAGTCCTGTGGACACTGAGGTGCGTTGGTGCTCAAAATTAATATACCAGGAGATACCAATAGTTTGTTTAGATCAATGAAAAAGCTGAGCAAAGGCCAGGATTTGGGTTCAGAAAAGCAAGAGTGAAGCACAAGGAGCAACAGGAAAAGTGGGAGCAGTGCTTGTGCTTTGCACATCTATGGTGATATGATTGTGTTATGACAGTTAAAAGCCTGACCTTGAAAAAAGAGAGGAGCCGATTGAGCAACAGGAAGAATACGGACTCATTCTGTCAGAACTGACACCATGGGTATGAGGTGAAAGTGGAAGACATTCCACAGGGAGACAGTATGGTGTTACAGGAAGATTGTAGGCTTGCATTTATTTCAGTATTGGCTCCAAAAACTATCAAACTCTGGAGCACCTGAGTGGCTCAGTCAGTTAAGCACCTGACCCTTGATTTCGGCTCAGGTCATGATCTCAGGGTCATGGGATGGAGCCCCATGTTGGGCTCCATGCTCAGCATAGAGTCCGCCTGGGATTCTCTCCCTCTTCCTCTGCTCCTCCCCCTATCTCTCCACCCCAGCTCACACCTCTCTAAAAAAATCAAACTGACTATCCCACAAATTCCATTTCTAGGTATACAGTCAAGAGAGTTATACATATTATATATATACACTTATATATGTATACACACACACTATATGAGATACATATAGATATATTCCAGACACATTTAAGAATGTTCTTAACAAAAACCTGGATATGGCTATCAAGAGGAGAATGGATAAACTCACTGTATAAACACATGCAGATACAATAAAACACTCTCAAAGGTACAGCAATGGAAGATGATCATGGGTACTGGATGACTGACAATCTTCTGGCTAGGGGCACAAAGGTTATATGGTGGAAAATAAGTTAGCAGGAAGCATTTGCCAAGGTTTAAATTCTTTGGGGATGTTATTATATTTGGTAAAAAAGTAACATATTAACTAAATTATGTATTTTTAAAAAGAGAAACATCAATTTAGTATATGTGCTGCCAAAGCGAGCACAAGAGAAACATCAATTTAGATAAGATTTTTAATCCAAATGTCCTTGCTTGTTATAGAAAAATAACAATGTCTTTTCCTGGAATTTGTAAATTATCTGAAATCGTATCTTCTTTTAACATTCCAATCCCAAACATTCAAGAGACATCAGGTGAGAAGTGCTTTTAACTAGATGTGTGTGTTGTGTGTGTACATAGTTACATAATCTGACTTCAAAAACATCATCAGAAATTAGTGCCCCTAAGGAGCATTACTAAATGATCTAGAACACAGAATGTTTATATGGAAGGACAGTGTTAATAGCAGTATTTAAACATAGAAACAATCTTTGGCTGTATCACTGTGGTCCACAGCAGACATCTATGTGCATAGATGGGGTTAGCAACATAAGCAGCCAATCATAGAAAAACAGGACAGCAATGGGATGTGTGTCAACAAGGACCAGGTGACGTTTTTTATGGAGTTCAGTTGAAAATGAGGACAGGAACAAAGCAGGCTTCATGGGTTAACTGAAATATGTAATTTCAAGAGCTTAAGAAATTTTCTGGGAAACCCAAGTATTAGGAGCAGTAGTAATAAGGAAACCATGGAGTATAAAAAAAACTTCCTTTGTTTCCTTAAATAAAATGAGATATTTAAATATTAGATTAGTATACCAAGATGTACATGATGAATCTAAACAAGAATATTAGAATAAATTATTTGTAGCAAGAAAAAAATGAAAATTAAATTCAAAAGTTATTTTTAGAAAACTACATATAAAGGGAAAAAATAATGTATCTTATACAAAAAGCTAAGGCAAGTCAATTGAATGGTATTTCTGTGACTAAGGCAGTAACTTAAAAAGTATGTCCTCAAGATATCACAAATTATCAGCTTAAAGAATGTCATATATTCAACTGAGGAAAATGTGTGTTAAAACAATGAGATACCACTACACATTTATGAATAGCCAAAATCGAGAACACTGAAATACCAAATACTACTGAGGATGTGGAATAATAAGAACTCTCATTCACTGCTGGTGGGAATGCAAAATGCCATACCACTTTCTTACAGAATTAAATATACTCTTAAATACGATTTAGTAATCAAACTCTTTGGTATTTATACAAATAAGTTGAAAATTTATGTCCATGTAAAAACCTGGACACAAAATAGAGAAATCCTACAATCTGTATGGAACCACAAAGGACCCTGAATGGCCAAAGCATCTTGAGAAAGAAGAACAAAGTTAGAGGCATCACATTCCCTGATTTCAAACTCCTTCATTACAAAGCTGTGGTAATTAAAACAATATGGTATTAGCATAAAAACAGACACAGAAATCAACAGAAGAGAACCCAGAAATAAACCCACACACATGGTCAATTAATTTATGACAAAGGAGACATGATGCGGGGCCTGATCCCAGGACTCTGGGATCATGACCTGAGCCGAAGGCAGACGCTCAACGACTGAGCCATCCAGGCGCCCGGTTTTCTGACATTAATGTTCTGCAACCACCTAATGAAGCATGAAAATGCAGAACTTCTGAAGAAAAGGAAAGTTAGAGTCCACTTGACATTTTGAAGCCTTTCCATTCTCAATCAAAACAGCTTCAATCACTCCCTTAAGAACAGGGATTTGAAACTCATACAATCAAGTCAGGGGCTCTCAAGAGAAAACGCAAAAATATACAAAAGTAATTACCGACTTCTGGAGGGAAACTATCCTCACCCAGGGAGACCAGGTTCCTGTAGTTCTCCACCATCACGTCCCTGTACAAGGCCCTCTGAGCAGGGTCCAGACACTCCCACTCCTCCTCAGAGAATTCTATGGCCACATCCCTGAAGGTCACCTGTCCCTGAAATGAAAACACATTTCACCAAGCGGACAGGCAGAGTGTTCTGATTTTGACACAAAATAAAAGAAGCAGAGATGTGTAAAGGCTGACTTGACTGGAGTGAGTGTTCCGAATGATCTGTGTAAGATAATTCTGAGCAAGTTATAATTCTCCAATTTTCTTAAGTGAAACTCAACATAACAAAATTAGCCATTTTTAAGTACCATTCGGTGGCATTTAGTACATTCACAGTGTTGAACAAACATCACCTCAGTCTAGATCAAAAACATTTTTATCATTCCCAATGGAAATCCTTTACCCATTAAGCAAGTGCTTCCTATTCCCCCTTTCTTCCCCAGTCCCTGGCAACCACTAATGCTTTTCTCTATGGATTTACCTATTTTGGATTTTTCATGTAAATGGAATGGTATAAAGTGTGACTTTTTTGCATCTGGCCACTTGGACTTGGAATAATGTTTGGGGTTCATCCATGATGTAGTATGTATCAGTACATTGCTTTTTTATGGCTGAATAGTATTCCATTGTAGGACTAGACTGTATTCACTATCTATTGATGGGCATTTGGTTATCACCTTTGGCTAATGTTGCTAATGAATGTTGCTATGAACATTCAAGTACAAGTAGATGTTTGGATACCTGTTTTCAATTCTTTTGGTTATATACCTAGGAGTGGAATTACTGGGTCACATTGTTTAATTTTTCAAGAATCTGCCACTGTTTTCCACAGCAGCTACAACATTTTAACAGAATGTGTCATGATTCTAATTTCTCCACATCTTTACCAACACTTTTTGTTTTACTGTACTCATCCTAGTGGGTGTGAAATGGTATCTCATTGTGGTTTTGACTTTGCAGTTCACTAATGACTAATTTCATTGAACCTCTCTTCAGTGGCCTGTTTCAGTTGTTTATCTTCTATGGAGAAATGTCTATTAAAATCCTTTAACCATTTTTTTAAATTGGGTTCTTTTTATTTTGGTTGTTGAACTGTAGAAGTTCTTCATATATTCTAGGTTCTAGATCCTTACTAGGTATGTGATTTGCAAACTATTTCCTCCCATTTGGTAGATTATGTTTCACTTCTGTGATAATGTCCTTCAGTGCACAAACATTATTAATTTTGATGATGACCACTTTATCTATTTTCTTTCTCTTTTGCTTTTGGTGTCATATATTAAACCCACTGCCAACTCCAAGGTCATGAAGATTTACCTCTATGTTTTCATCCAAGAGTTTGTTTTAGCTCTTACATTTGGTCTTTGATTAATTCTGAATTATTTATATGGTACAAGTTAGTTTCAATTTTATTCTCTTTCACATGGATATCCAGTGTGCCAACACCATTTAATAGAGTGTTCTTTTTCCACTGACTGTTTTTGGCACCCTTATAAAAAAGGAATTGACTATAGGTGTATGGGTTTATTTATGGATGCTCAGTTCTATCGCTTTGATCTATATTTCTAGCCTCTGCTGGAGTTATAGTTTTGATTACTCAAGATTTGTAGTAAGGTTTGATGTTGGGGGGCGCCTGGGTGGCTCAGTCGGTTAAGCGTCTGCCTTTGGCTCAGGGAGCCTGACGCGGAACTCTGGGATCGAGTTCCGCGTCGGGCTCCCTGCTCAGCGGGAAGCCTGCTTCTCCCTCTCCCACTCCCCCTGCTTGTGTTCCCTCTCTCGCTATGTCTCTGTCAAATAAATAAAATCTTTAAAAAAAAAAAAAAAAGGTTTGGTGTTGGGAATTCTAGGTCCTCCAACCTTGTTCTTTCTCATGTTAATTTTGGTTATTTGGGGTCCTTAACCAAATTGATGAGTTTTAGAATCAGGTTTCCCATTTGTGCAAAAAAGGCTGTTGAGATTTTGCTGGGGATTGCATTACTCTTTATCTCACTCTGGGGAGTACTGCCATCTTAATGTCTTCTGATCCACAAACACAGGCTATCTTGACATTTACTTAGGTTTCAATTTTTCTCTGCAACTTTGTAGTTTTCAGTGTGTATAAATCTTCCATTTCCTTGGTTAAACTTATTCCCATCCATTTTGATGCTCTGTAAATGGAATTGTTTCCTTACTTTCAATTTGTTGATTGCTAGTGTACAGAAATACAACTGAATTTTGAGTGCTGATATTGTACTAATCCACTGTAGTATCTCTAATAGTTCTTTTGAGGATTATTTCTAAATATAAGATCATGTATTCTGTGAATAGACATAGTTTGATTTCTTTTCCAGTTTTGACACATTTTATTTATCTTTTCTATTTTCTCTGGTTAGAACTTCAGTACAGTGTTAAAGTGTGGTGACAAAATGGGGCACTCTTATTTTGTTCTTAGTATTAGGGTGTAAGTTTTCAGTCTTTTACCATCGAGTATAATGTTAGCTGTGGAATTTTAGTAATACCCTTTTTTTCAGACTGATGAAGTTCCCTTCTATTCCTAATTTTTTAGTGCATTGTTTTTGTTGGGAGTGTTCTGTTTATGTCTGCTAAGTCTAGTTGATTTAGTGTTGCTCAGTCCTTTATTTCCTTACTGATATTATGTCTGGTTGTTCTTTCCATTATTAAAAGGGGAGTATTGAGGTCTCCAACTATTATAGTAGAGCTCCTCAATTTTTGCTTCAAAAAACTGGGGGCTTTGTTGTTATGTACATATTGTTCATAGTTGTTTTATCTTCCTGATGGATTGACCCTTTTTTCAAAATGTAATGTCTTTCAACATCTCTGGTAACAATTAAACAACTTAGTCTATTTGATCTATCATCTGTATAGCTACCCACCTAGGTTTCATTACTATTTGCATGGAGTATCTTTTTCCATCCTTCCACTTTTTTTTTTTTTAAGATTTTATTTACTTATTTGACAGAGAGAGACACAGCGAGAGAGGGAACACAAGCAGGGGGAGTAGGAGAGGGAGAAGCAGGCTTCCTGCAGAGCAGGGAGCCTGATGCAGGGCTTGATCTCAGGAACCTGGGATCATGACCTGAGCCAAAGACAGACACTTAACAACTGAGCCACCCAGGCGCCCCCATCCTTTCACTTTCAACCTATTCATGTATCTAAAGTGAGGCTTTTGTAGATCTAGAGTGAAATCATTTTTAAAAATTAACTCCTTTGTCTTTTATTGAAGAGTTTAATCAATTTACATTTCAAGTTACTACTGCTAAGTATGACTTCTGCCTATTTAGCTATTTGCTTTCTGTATGTCTAATATTTTGTTTCATAATTCCTTCTTTGTGTGTCTTTGCGTGCATACCATTTTGATTGCCTTTGTCATTTTTCTGTATATTTTTAAGTTATTTTTTGAGTGGTTACTCTGGGGATTACACTTTACATATTGAACTAATAATATCTGAATTTCAGTTGATATTAACTTAGCTTTAAGAGCATATAACTGCTCCTATATAGTCTTCCTTTATGTTCTTATTTTCAAAAACTACTTCTTTATAAACAGATGGACAGATGTTTAATACACTCAAAAGCAGATTTTTATTATTGTTTTCTACATTTGTCTTTTAGGTCACATAGAAAAAAATGAGTTAGAAAACAAAAATATAGTAACACTGGCTTTTATATTTACCTATATAGTTACCTTTACTAGTGTTCTTTATTTGTTCCTATGGCTTAGAGGTACTGCTAGTTTCCATTCATTTCAGTCTGAAGAACTCCATCTGGTATTTCATGTAGGCTAAGGATATTAGTGTGAACTTCCTCAGCTTTTGTTTATCTAGGAGTCTCTTAATTTCACTATCAATTTTGAAGCATAGTTTGCCTGATAATGAATTCCTGGTAGATTTTATTTTTAATCTTTCAAACTTTAAATATCTCATGAGATTGCTTCCTTCAGTTTCTGATGAGAAATAAGCTCTTAAACTTCTTGAGAATCCATCAGAAGTTGTTTCTGTCTTGCTACTTTCCACATTCTTTTTGTCTTAGAGAAGTTGATTATATGCTTGCCAGGGATCTCCATGCATTTATCATAGTTGAAGTTCATTGAGTTTCTTGGATGTGTAAGGTTAATGATTTCGATAAATTTGGGTGGTTTTCAGATCTTATTTCTTCAAATATTCTTTCTGCTCTTTCTTCTTTGTCCTTTCCTTCTAGGACTCCTATTATATGTATATCAGTATTCTTTTTGCTTTTTAAGATTTCATTTATTCATTCAAGACACAGAGATACAGAGAGTGAGCATGAGCAGGGGGAGAGGCGGAGGGAGAGGGAGAAGCAGGCTCCCAGCTGAGCCAGGAGCCAGACGTGGGGCTCAATCCCAGGACCCTGGGATCATGACCTGAGCCGAAGGCAGATGCTTAACCATCTGAGCCACCCAGACGCCCCGTTTTTTAAGTTTTATTTATTTATTTTAGAGAGAGGGTATGTGTGCGGGGAGGGGGTGGGAGGGAGGGGGAGAGACAGAATTGTCAAGCAGACTCCCCATTGAGTGTGGAGCCCGACGCAGGACTCAATCCCAGGACCCCAAGATCATGACCTGAGCCGCAATCAAGAGTCAGCTGCTCAACTGACTGAGCCACCGAGGTGCCCCTATATCAGTATTCTTGATAGTGTCTATGGTGTCCCAAAGGTTTCTTAGTCTCTGTTCATTTTTCTTTTTTCCCCTTTTCTTCTGCTCACACTGGATAATTTCAATTAACCTATGTTTAAGTTCGCTGATTCTTTATTCTTCTTGTCAATCTGCTTCAATTTTGGCTATTTTACTTTTTAGCTCCAGAATTTCTATTCTATCCCTTTACCATAATTTCTCTCTCTTTATTAGTATTTTCTATTTGTTGAAACATTGATCTCCTACTTCTTAGTTCTCTTCCACGGCTTCCTTTAGCCGAGTATGTTTAATACAGTTGATTTAAAATCTTTACTTAGTAAGTGGAATGTCTGGCCTCCTCAGGAACACTATCATTATCAGGTTAACCGGGTAATCATGCTTAAGATATACAATCTGGAGATATCCTTAGATATCTGTAGTGAAGTCAGCCTGCTCAGAAGCAGGCATTCTTTGTAACAGTAAGAAATTGTAGAGGACCCATGTATCTTCATTTAGATACTAGTCCAATGAGGATCTAAAAAAGCAGCTATCTCTGTTTACTAACATGAAAACAACTCCAAGACACATGGTATGTAAATATTTAAATTTAGAAAATATGATGTTTAAACATTTACTGAAGAATATTTTCTCGGGGCGCCTGGGTGGCTCAGTTGGTTAAGCGACTGCCTTCGGCTCAGGTCATGATCCTGGAATCCCGGGATCGAGTCCCGCATCAGGCTCCCTGCTCAGCGGGGAGTCTGCTTCTCCCTCTGACCCTCCTCCCTCTCATGCTCCCTCTCTCTCATTCTCGCAAATAAATAAAATCTTAAAAAAAAAAAAAAAAAAGAATATTTTCTCAAATCACATTAATATATAAATGCATTTTTATAAGATTTTTATAATAGTTACTAAAGAGAATATTGGTTCCTGGTGAAGACAATCAGTGATGGTGGAAGATAAGATGGGAAGGGGATATTTTACTTCTTAGTTTCTAAACTCCATCAATGTGTGGAATTGAACCACAGAAATATATACCAGAGAGGTTTAATACAAAAAAACAAAAAACAAACAAAAAACAACATTTAACAATAATTAGTAAAATCAAGATTTAGCCCCAGCCTCTCTAATGACAGAAAGTTCTGCTCTTACGTGTTGGCTAAATTATAAACATTTTTATCTAAAAGATCTGCTGTGTAAGAGTTCCTAAGACCTCAAGAGTTCCATAAAGACCTCATGGTCTTTACGAGATGGGTGTGCAATGAATAATTTAAAGAACACTTACTGTTAGACAAGTTGGTTGATTCTAAGTTTTAAAACCAATTATGTTAATAAAACAAAACACCCTCTCTATTCCTTATTCCTACTTTGAATTTCCCATTCTCTTCCAAAGTATTAGTATTTTGAAGTCAGAAATATACTGGTTTCCTTAACGTCAGAAGACATTTATAAAATTAGAAAAAGCAAACATCCCCCGTCAGTCTTCTTTTCCAGAGTTTCTCAAGTATTTGTACACATTAATACATCACTTACATATGTAATCTCTTTAATCTTTATTTATATGAGCTGAAAGGGCATCCAGAAGGGGTCTCTGAAGAATCCTTAATGTCCAACCTCACTGACACCACAGAGCCTACTCCCTATCTCCAGTCAATGCCTGCACAGAAAATCCTTCACAGGATGAGCACCTAAAAGGAGCCTCTTCCCAAGTTCCATGTCACTGGGTCACAGTGAGATGGAATCTGCATGGAGATGAGAGGAGATTGGGAGAAAGTGTGAGTGAATACTTTAGGCAGGAGAACAATCAACTAAAAATACGACTTTTACCTGGGAAAGAGCCATTCCTCCTTTTTTCCCTCTTCTTCTGGGCTTCTTTCTCAGATAAGGTTATTCTGTGTGACAAAAAGTATGTTGTTTAATGCTCAGAATCAACATAACCCCTTCCTCTGCCACAATATACATAATGTGAGCACCTTAATATGGTGGAAAGACAAGTCCTTTGCTGCTAACTGCAACAGGAGGGAGACAGGGACAGTAACTCCTATATGGAGGGCAACAAGTACATTTTTCACCCATGTCTTCAGAAAGCCCTCCCCTCCTGCTGAAACCCACACATTCTACTGAAACTGCACTGTCTTTTGTCCCCTTGGCACTTGGCCAAAGGAACTGCCCCATTCAAGCTCTTGGCTCCTCCCTAGGCAGCCAGCATCCAATGAATGGTTGATGCAGGATACAGAAGCCTGTCTTCCATCAGTTTGGACCAACTCTTAATCTTAAGGGCCACCCCAGCTCCAGAGCTCCTCCCAAAATCATTTCAGGGATCTTATTAGCTCAGATTCAGAATTCCTGGTCTATCGTCTCCATTTCACAGGCGGGTGCACTGAGTCTCAGAGGGGGAATATTTTTACCAAGTTACCTTTAAGAGGTCTGAATTAAGTGAGCAGACCTGGGTGTAAGTAAATTCTGAAATGGTAGCCCAGACAAGTTTAAGTAGAAAGGACTTGTCCTAATTCCAGCTTACCTTTCATGTTCCTGAACAAGAGAAGATTCTCTTTAATGGGTTTAATCAAACCCAAGTTAATTTAATTCCTCTTTTCCAGAAAAAATATAATAAAAAAATGTATGAAATTGAAAATAGTTACTAGTCCTGAAAAACATGAAGAAGGGTCACCTGTGGAGATGAGATCTGAGCAATCTCTGCATCATAAACAGATGGGCTCTGTTGGAATAAAGTTCCACATCAATTCAGCCCATCCTCCCAACATCTGCACAGAAAAGACAAAGGGGACTTGAGGGGACCATTTACTTAGTTGGAAGCTTCTGCTCAGAGTTCAGTAATTTCATCAGATCACTTAAGGGAAGGGAACTGCTGAATATGAAATTAACTGGCTAAACTAGATTCTGAGTGTCAAAAAAAAAAAGTTACCCACATCCTTAACGGATGCATAATGAAATACTATAAAATTATTTACCAGACATCAAACAATAATTCCACTACACGGTAAAGTAGAAAGCACATAGAATTCATAATCTGAACAAAAAATTAAGAAGGAAAATAATTTGGAAATTAAAAGATATCCAGTGGATTCTGAGATTAAAGTTAAACAAGTGTGAGGATACATCAAATTTAGAAAAGAATGACACGAGCCACAGAAAAAAGGGGGAAAGAGAAACGGTACTGTTAATAATGGCCTTTTTGGAAAGCACCATGTGGTGACAGAAAGTCTTCCCCCATTTCTTGGAAGGGAAGAGGATGACCTGGAACCGACTAAGCTAGGCCTCTGCCCTCTAAATGAATAGGGGCTGCAAATGGAATCTTCTTCTGATGCAATAATTAGAACGTGCAGATGCCTCAAACACCTGGTTTCACAACTCTCATTCTCTTCCGCATAACTGAAACAATTCAACCAATTTTAATTACAGAGCCACAAATCAGTACTTCACAACTCAGTATTCCACATCCAGGCAACTCAATACTCACCTGGGTTTGGGTCCAAACACTGTGTGTTTTGGTCTCTGTGTGTGTCTCTCTGTCCTCGTTTCTCTTCTCTCCTTTTGTCCATCTGTGTTTCCCTCTCCGTTTCCGCATCCTTCTGTCCCCCCCGCCGCTATTCCTCCTCCAACACTTCGACCCCGCTCTGCGGCAACCTGTTTCAATCCCTGCCGTCCTTTCTCCCCAGACTTTCTGCTGGCCCCCTAACTGCGCAGGGTCCTGCGTCCTCCCCGCCATCTCTGTTGCCCCCTGCCCTCCCTGGAGCGGAGCGAGGGGCCTGCATCCACTGGACCGAGGCACCCCTGTACCGACGCGGGTGGGGTGGGGGCAGAGTCGGGAGTCCGAGAAAGGTTCTGAGCCGGAAAGCGACCGGCAGCGCGATCGGTGTCTACAAGGGCCGAAGGCAGCACTGCTGGCGCCCGCGCCCGCCTCAGAGCGATCTTAACCGGAATCGCAAACTCCCGGCTCCCGCACCGCGCGCCAGGACTCGGGACGTCACACGGCGACGCCGCGAGAGGCGATAGGGACGACCTCCCAGCGAGAGGGACGAGGGGGCTCAAGGACTTTACCTTACCAGGCGACCCCCGAAACTGGGTGCGGAGGAGGGGCCTGAAGAGCGCGCCGGCGGCACGAACCAGAAAAACGGAGACTCCCTCTCCCGAGCGCGCCCGTCGCTCCGCGCGATCCGCTTCCGGGTCTGCAGGCGAGCGCGCGTGCGCCGCGGGGCGGGGCTGGGGGCGGGGCCTGGAACGCGCGGGGTGGCGCCGTCTTCGCGTCCGTTCGTCTCTCCCGCCCGGCGGTTTCAGTTTCAGCTCTTGGGTTCCTTCGCGCTCCGCTGCTGTCTTTGGGAGCGAGGCTGGGTCCGACATCAGGGAAGTGTGGGCCGCTTTTATTTGAAGCGGCGGTATTGGACAAGCGAGCACGGTGCCCGTTCAAACTTTGGCGAGTGGTGGAGACGCGCCTCCTGCGAGGGAGGCCGAGCAGCGCGGGGACCTGGGGCGGGACGGGGGTCCTTGTGGAGCGGCCGAGCTGACAGTGGCAGCTCCTCGCTTAACTGAGCAAAAGCCGGAGGGGCGAGTGGGGGTGAGGGAAGCTAGGACGGATGGGCAATGCGGAACTGCTCTGGGGAACGTGGGTTTTGTACTAACGTCCACCAGAGCTCTTCTTTCTCGCGGAATTGTCACTTCCGCTCCCCCGTTCGCTGGGCTGCGCTCCTGGGACTTCCGGCCAGACAGACCTTGGGCTGCGGGGACGGAGGGCTGGCACGTTCCTTTAAAAGAACCAAAACTGGGCGCCTGGGTGGATGTAAATTAACTTCTCTCTCTTTAAACTTGATGCCGGAATCCACACCTCTCAAGATGAATTACAGATCGCCTTTGAGACCTACCGGGTGGCATCCTGTATTTTACTTACGGCATTAATTACTAAGTACCGTTGCAATTTCAAGTTTCTAAAATCTTTTTTTTTTTTTTTTTTTTTTTTTTTTTTATAAATATTTTATTTTATTTTTTTTTTTTTTAAGATTTTATTTATTTATTTGACAGAGAGAGAGGCAGCGAGAGAGGGAACACAAGCAAGGGGAGTGTGAGAGGGAGAAGCAGGCTTCCCGCCAAGCGGGGAGCCCGATGCGGGGCTCGATCCCAGGACCCTGGGATCACGACCTGAGCCGAAGGCAGACGCTTAACGACTGAGCCATCCAGGCGCCCCTCAAGTTTCTAAAATCTTTATTCTCAGTTATTTGGAAGAGTATTTTTAACTTGAAGATTAGGTATTTTAACCGACCTTTTCTTTCAGTTTCTAAATGCTTTTTAAAAATTTTTATTTATTTATTTGACAGAGAGAGCGAACACAAGCAGGGGGAGTGGGAGAGGGAGAAGCAGGCTTCCCGCGGAGCAGGGAGCCCGATGCGGGGCTCGATGCGGGGCTCGATCCCAGGACTCTGGGATCATGACCTGAGCCGAAGGCAGACGCTTAACGACTGAGCCACCCAGGCGCCCAAGATTAATATTTTTTTTTTAAGGTTTTATTGATTTATTTGACAGAGAGAGACACAGCGAGAGAGGGAACACAAGCAGGGGGAGTGGGAGAAGGAGAAGCAGGCTTCCCGCCGAGCAGGGATCCGATGTGGGGCTTGATCCCAGGACCCTGGGATCATGACCTGAGCTGAAGGCAGACGCCTAACGACTGAGCCACCCAGGCGCCCCTCTAAATGCTTTCTATCAAGTGCAGATAAGGAGCCTTGTAAAAGGTGTACTCTTTCAGAGATATTTAACTTTTCCTAGTACTGACGAAATATTAGTTTGGAAGTATTTCTAGAGACATGTGATAAGGATGTCTGTTCTTTATGTGAACAATACAAGCAAATAATAAAACTGGGGTTTTTTTTTTCACATTTTCAGTACCATCATATACACTTCATAATTGCATATGAAATATGCAAGTTACTAGCTCCTCTTCTGTTTCCTGTGGAATTCTGAGGCTGGTGTGGCTGGATCTGCTTTTCACACCCTCTCTGTTAGGTGACTGCTCACTCCCTGCTTAAATCTCTGCAAGGAGTGGATGAACAAATGACTACACATCGTTTAAACAATTTATAATAGTTTTTGGCTATTGTATCGTTTTAGGGAGTTGTGTATTCCTTTTGCTGCATGCAGAGAAGACCCTAGACACAATAAGGTCATGGCTCCAGAGAACAAAAGGGCTGATTGTTGGGAAACAGGGAGTGATCAGGGCAGAGGGGTTCAGCAGCCACCAACTGGGATTTTCAGAAGGAGCCAAATAAAATGAAAAGGTAGAAGAGAGAGCATAAAAAGATACAAAGGTGTTACCAAGACAAGGATGCTTTGGGTAGCCCTCATGTCAGGGGAAATTCTGGAGGAGATGTTGTTCCTATGAATATGCTCGACCCGCCGCTTATATCTTAAGAGGTTGAAAACTATGGAGATGCTGGCTCAGATCACCAATCCCAACCGAAGACATGAGGGAAGATTGAAAGTGCAGCAAGTGGTGATTGTGTGATCTTATTCAGAATCCCTGGCCATACTTCTTTGTGACGTTTTTGCTGTTCATTTGTCAGTCACGGGAGGAGGGAAAGTGGCATTTTACCAGCATGTCCAGGATCAAGTAGCTGTTTGTTAGAGAGGTACCGGGGAGCTTTTATTTTAAGCTCTATTATCTTGGAGTTTCTGGGGCCAATCGTGATGCTCTGGAAGACACTCAAGAAGCAGTGGTGCCAATGGATACACCACTGGCCATTCTGAACATGCAAAACCAACTTGTATCAAAACTCAACAAGGACATTTTTCAACCCCAAAGCTGTCAGCGAGTGATTCCTTTAAGGACAATGAGCCAGACACTGGCTACAGTCAGGTGGTCGAGAAGCAGGTCGTAGGAAGGAATTCAACCATGTTTTACTGATTTTTTACCATATTCTCTTTTGTTTGACCTTTACCTTGCTATAGGATGTGAAGAATAAGACCATTTATTGTCATTTTTAAAAAAGATTTTATTTTTTTAGGTAATCTGTACACCCAGTGTGGGTCTCAAACTAATGACCCAGAGATCAAGAGTTGCGTGCTTTTCTGGCTGAGCCAGCCAGGCACCCCTCTTTTATTGTCATTGTGATAGGAATTCCCATTTCCCAAATGCCAGGCATTAATGATGTTATCCCCACTGTAGTTTTTGCTGATTATTAACTTTTCTTATGCACTTTGGCATACTTCTGAATTTTTAGCTTCACTAATCTAATAGTCTGTTCATAAATAAACATATCTCATAAGGATAGCCATACTCATTTTGTTTCTTTTCTAGAGTTTTTGTGGCTATTCTTATTTGTTATTCTATAAGGTTTTTGTAGTAACATCGCTAGTTTGAAAAACTGATGGTATCTATATCAGGATCAAACTTAAATTTATAAATTAGCTTAAGGGAAATTGACCTTTTTACAATATTGAGTTTTTCTACCCCAGAACATGATGTAAATTTACATTCATTTATTTCTACTTTCATATATTTCAGGAATGTTTTATAGTTTTCCTCATATAGGCTTTACACATTTTTGTTGTATTTATTCCTGGTTAGTGTATTTCATTTTATGTTACGCTTTTGTAATTGCAGGCCCTCCCATTGTAACTTGTAAATGATTGTTAAAGCCTTTGTACAGGGGTGCCTGGGTGGCTCAGGCAGTAGATGGTGTGACTCTTGATCTTGGGGTCGTGAGCTCAGTTAAGTAACAGAGTTAAGTAACAGAGGTTACTTAAAAATAAAATAGCCTATGTACAAAAAGGCTGTTGGTTTTATATAACAATATATCCTATTAGCTTACTGAATTATTTTTCTTAATAGATTTTCTATCAGTTCTTTGTGTTTCCAGATATATACTTGTATCATCTACAAGCATAGTTTTACATCCTTGTTTCTAATTCCTTTGCCATTTTAAATTGCCTGGCTAAACCTCCGACTCAATGATAAATGAATAGAACAGGTGATCATGTGCTTTTTTAGTGTGGTTTCTGGTCTCAGTGGAATGAATATCTCTAGTGTGTTTCCCTGCGAGCAAGATGAACACTTTGTTTTATCAAGTTGGGAAAGATCCATCAATTCCCAATTTTGAGTGTTTTAATTTAATATCCATACATGTTGAATTCTCCCAAATAATGTTTTTGTAACTACAAGTAAGATCTCTTGATTTCTCTTAATAAATATGATGAACGATATTAATGAATTTTCTAATAGTGAATCATTCTTGAATTCCAGACGTAAATTTTACTTGGTCATCATATGTTATTTGTATATTATTTTTCAGGGGTTTTGGCAATATTTATTTTAGATGGTACCATCTGTAGGCTGATGTGAGATCTTTCTGTGGTATTCTTTCTGGTACAGACTTTAGGTTTGGTACAAACAGCATTTCCTCCTTCCATGTGAGACCCTGTCTGCTTCCAGGAATAATGGGAAAGGAAGAGTCTCTCTCAAACACTCCAGTGGTCCTTTGGATATGCTCATTAGAAACTTCTAATAGATCCTGGTAATTAAGAAGTTTTTCAGAACTGTTGCCCAAGTGTGAACTGTTACTGTCGCTACAGGTGACATTGATGATTGCATTTCTTGGGGGAGGTGAGGTCACAGAATCACTAACCCATGTCTCAGGGTCTGGCTTCCTCCCGTCCACACATGCTTTGGCTGCTACTTTACACCCGGCTCACAGTGCTGGCAGCAGGAAGGAGTCTGTGAGTATCTCCTAGTTTAGTCTGAGACTAGAGTCTCGAAGGTTAGGGGGAGATGCAGCAGGAATCTGGGTAGGTGAGCAGGTCTGGGAGAGCAGTCCTGAGGCACAGGCTGAACTTGTGGGGAGAGGCCACTAAGTCAATGCATGACTGCTGCTAATGTAATTTAACGATATCCTCCTTTAAAGGGGTTCTTCGTGTTTGACCCAAGTGCTTTCAGAGTCTGAATTTTAAGATGCTTCAAGATTGTAACTTCAGAATTAGTCTGCTATTCGGTATAGTGTGCGAGAGTCACAGGGACATTTTCAGGAGCAATATTGAGATTTCTATAAAGGCATGTACGTGTGATAACGAATATGATGGAACGAATTAAATTACCTGATTCACAGCAGAAAAGGTGTGACTGAATGGGAATTGCTGAAATTTATTCTTCTGTAACTTGAGTGTGACGAGCTTAATGGAGACAGTAAATGTGTGTCTACGGAAAATATCTGTGGTCTATTGTTCTGTGAGACAATTTTCTTCCCTGAAATTAGGAAAGGTCCCTTAAGAAAAGTTAGCATCATAATAGAGGGTTGCAAAGAGCAAAAACTTAAGGACTTTATTTTTATATTTTAATTTAATTTTAAAATAAGGAATTAATTTAAAAATACAATCTCATCAGAAAAAAAAAAACAATTTTAAGGTTCAAATGTTTCTTGCTGTATTTTCTCTGGTTCAAAATCATTTCAGGGGCACCTGGGTGGCTCATTTGGTTGAGTGTCCGACTCCTGACTTCGGCTCAGGTTGTGGTCTCAGGGTCCTGGGATCCAGCCCCGCGACGGGCCTCCTACTCAGAGGGGAGTCTGCTTGTCTCCCTCTCCCTCTGCTCCTCCCCATGCTCGTACTCTCTCTCCCTCTCTCTGAAATAAGTAAATAAATCTTTTAAAAAATCATTTCAATATTATTATTACCAGCTCACTATTCACCTCTCTTGCTTTTCAGTTATTAAATGCTCAAGGTTCCAAGTCTTCAAATTCCATTTTGCATGTTTGTATTGTATTTTAATAGCTTTTCCGAATCAAATATCAGTTTGAGTTTCAGTTTGTTTATTCTAAAATAATAAACATACAGTGATGTGATCTTTATGGGATTAATTTATTTCCTGCCCTGATATACTTTATCACTGTTTATGTTTCATGCCCCATATTTTAGCAGTTTTGTGCAGTAATTTCTGTTATGGGTGCCATTGTCTTTTTGGTTCAGGCAAAAAATGAAATGAGTTTTTCTGCTGCCATCTTAACATTTGTCTACATTAAATAAATCAAATTGGCTCATATAAAATTACTCAGTGCATCTATAATTTATTAAGGCCTCTGAATCCTCACTCCTTAAGTATATTGGTTATAAAAGAAATACTTAGACAAAAATGGGAAACTGTCAAACCAAGTTTATATAGTAAAGTAAATTTAAAATATGAGAAGGTGTTGTGTGTGTGTGCACCCATAACTAGGTACTTGGCATAGTATAGTATAGTAGTAAACACTAATGTCATTGCAACTAGGCTACCCAGGTTCAAATCCTGATTCTACTTTTATTTTTTTATTTTATTTATTTATTTATTTATTTTTTAAAGATTTTATTTATGTATTTGACGCAGAGAGAGCACAAGCAAGGAGAGCGGCAGGCAGAGGGAGAGGGAGAAGCAGACTCCCCGCTGAGCAGGGAGCCCGACGTGGGGCTCGATCCCAGGACCATGGGATCACGACCCGAGCTAAAGGCAGAGGCCTAACCAACTGAGCCACCCAGACGCCCCTCTACTTTTATTTAGATGAGTCACTTTACTGCCCATGGTTAAATTCTCCTCGCCTATAAAATGAGAGTTATATTAGTTCCTTACTCATAGGGTTGTTAATATTAAATAAGTTAGAATAGGTAGAGCATTAATAACAGTTCCCCACACGTTGTAAGGGCTATAAAAAGAAACACACAAAATGGGAAATCTCTTAATAAAAGAGAATATATTTTAGATATTAATTTTCAGGGGGAAGGAATAATGGAAAAGGAAGAGTCTCTCTCAAACACTCCAATGGTCCTTTGGATATGATTTTATTTCCTGTGAAAATGCAGCCCAAAACTCATGTTTTCATGTAGAACCCTCTGCCTGTGAATTTGAATATTGAGTTCTGGAGAATGACAGAATGGCCTCGGTGGATTTGAATATAGGAATGATCTTGCTATTCCAGATAGTCGTTGGAGTCCTGGGGAACTTCTCACTCTTATATCATCACACGTCCCTTTACTTCAGGGGATGCAAGCCAAGATGCACAAATTTGATTCTCAGGCACCTGACTGTAGCCAACTCCTTGGTCATTCTCTCTAGAGGGGTCCCAGAGACCATGGCAGCTTTAGGGTTGAAACATTTCACCAATTATGAATGCTACATTCTTTTATATGCTCACAGAGTAGCCAGAGGTATGTCCATTTGTTCCACCTGCCTCTTGAGTGTCTTCCAGGTTATCATGATCCACCCTGGCAACTCCAGGTGGGTAGACCTTAAAGTGAAAGCTCCAAAGTACATTGGCTCCTCCAGTATCCTGTGCTGGGTGCTGCACATGGGGGTAAATATGTTTTTTCCTATTTATGTGACTGGTAAATGGAACAACAAAAATATTACAAAGAAAAGAGATTTGGGATATTGTTCTTCACAGCATCGTGCCAAGATCGCAGACTCAGCATATGCAGCAGTGACATCTTTCCATGACAGTTTGGGTTTGGGACTCATGACCTTGGCCAGCAGCTCCATGGTTTTCCTCCTTTCCAGGCACAAGCAGAGGGTCCAACACATCCATAAGAACAGTCTCTCCCCCAGACCCTCCCCTGAGTCCAGAGCCACTCAAAACATCCTTGTTTTGGTGACTACCTTTGTATCATTTTTTGCCCTCTCCTCCATCATTTATGTTTACTTGGCTCTCTTTGATGATTCCAGTTGGTGGCTGGTGAACGAACGCCGCTGTACTCATCACTGCATGTTTTCCAACCGTTAGTCCCTTTGTTCTCCTGAGCCATGACCCCAGCATATCCGGGCTCTACTGTGTCTGCTGTGGAAGAAATACATAATTCCCTCATCTCATCAGAGAAATATGAATTGTCCTCCTCCTGTTCAATCGTGGATGCACTCAGACCTCAAAGCATGTTAAGAACAATTATGAACCAGTTTCACTGCAGAGAGAGGGGTGAGCAAGACAGACTGACAATGGCCTAATATGAAATAGTAAATAACAACAGCACGGTACATGAACTCTTCTGTAATTAACATGTGTATACTTAGTTGTTTTTTTATTAACAGTTACAGTGCAGAAGTTAAGATTCCATAGAACAGTCCTGAAATAATGTGAGGATACTGGAAATATCTTTGAATGTGTAACTTTCAAATTGAGATATATTAAAATTTCCCAAGATGTACCTGAGCTTGGAACTGTAAAGACAGTCAGATAAGAGGGAATAGCATGTGGGTAGTCTTCCCAGAAACTAGGGATGGGAGCGGTGGTCCTGATTTGTGATGCAAATGGCCTGGGGTGAAGCTGGAGGGAAAAATCAGGTTTTACTTATTGCTGGCTTTGGAGGCTGTGTTGCAAATATTGTGCTTTATATCCTAAGAGAAACTGGGGACATTTGAAATACGATAACGCTAATGGAGAAAGATGAGCATATTAAAATATTTTCAGGTCAACATTTGAAGAGTAAACTGCAGGGGACAAAGAGGAACATAGGAAGATGTGTCAGTTGAATTTTACAAAGGGTGCAGGTGGAAGGGACGCCTGGGTGGCTCAGTCGGTTAAGCATCTGCCTTCAGCTCAGGTCATGATCCCAGGGTCCTGGGATCGAGTCCCGCATCGGGCTCCCTGCCCCGTGGGGAGCCTGCTTCTCCCTCTGCCTCTCTCTCTCTCTCATGAATAAATAAATAAAATCTTTAAAAAAACAAACAAACAAACAAACAAAAAACAAAGGGTGCAGGTGGTAGGCAGCCAGTAAACAGATTGGGTGTATAGGAAAAGATTGAATGGACTTTGGGGATGTTTAGAAGGTAGATTGTTCTGTGTTAAATCTTGGTGGCAGTTAGCTATGTTGGCGAAAAAGACATTTCAAGATGGACTTCTGCTTTTCCAACTTGAGGTTACAAGAGGTTACAGAGGAGCATTTCACCAAGCTTGGGGCAGTAGATAAGTAGCAATCTGAAGCTGGATGATGTGAATATATTTTGTTTAACGAGGAGTATTATCCCTTTTGAAATCCCCACCGGAGCAAAATGGACACCTTTGAAAGGAAAAATAAAAGGGTATTAACTCAAACATAGAAATACTTTAGGGTGGGGTGCCTGGGTGGCTCAGTCGTTAAATCTCTGCCTTCGGCTTGGGTCATGATCCCAGGGTTCTGGGATCGAGCCCCCGAGTCGGGCTCCCTGCTCAGCGGGAAACCTACTTCTTCCTCTCCCACTCCCCCTGCTTGTGTTCCCTCTCTCACTGTCTCTCTCTGTCAAATAAATAAAAAAATTTTTTTTAAAAAAGAAAGAAATACTTTAGGGGCGCCTGGCTGGCTCAGGGGGTAGAGCATGTGACTCTTAATCCTGGGATCGTGAGTTCAAGCCCCACATTGGGTGTAGAGATTACTTAAAAATAAAATCTTTTTAAAAAGAAATACCTTAATATAATTCTGTTATTAAATCATAAACATTTGCAGTTTTTTAAAGTAAACATTTTATTTTGGAATAACTTTAGATTTGCAGAAAGTTTGTAAAGATAACACTGAGTTCCAAAATATCTCTCACCCAGTACCCCAAATGTTACCATCTTAACTTTACCATGGTTTATTTGTCAAAACTAAGGAACCAACATTGGTATGTTACTATTGCCTAAACTCCAGACTTTATTTACATTCCAGTTGTTTTAACACTGTCATTTTTCTCTGTCAGGATCCAATCCAGGACATCACGTTATATGTCATCAGTCTCTTCTGCTCTGTGACATTTTCTCAGACTTCCCTTCTTTATCATGACAGGTTTGAGGAGTACTGGTCCCATACATTTTAGAATGCCTCTAAAGTTGAATTTGTCTGAAGTGTTTCTCATGGATAGACTGGGTTTATGGGTTTTTGAGAAGAATATCACATCTCATCACAGCATCTGGCCTGAGAGGTTCATGCAATTAACATGAGTTATCTTGGATGATGTTAATCTTGATCAGTTAGCAAAGGTAGTGTTTACCAGGCTTCTCCACTGTGAAATTACTCTGCATGCCTTTCCATATTCTGTTCTTTGGGAGACTCTAAGCACAGCCCACAGCCAAGTGTGGAGTCGGGGGAGGGAGGGAGGATGCTTGAGGGTGGGGGTGGGGTGTTGAGTTAAGCACCTCCTCCTGGAGGGCAAAGTAGCCCCGTATATTATTTGCCATTCTTCTGTGTGGAAGCTGTGTCACTTCTCCCTTGTTTATTTGTTTCTTCAACTCATTTATACGTATTTTATACTTTGTGCTATAATTCAATGCTATGTAATTTATTTTGTTGCTTAAATTTTTCCAGCTTTGGTCACTGGGAGCCATGGTATAATAAAACATGTACATCTGGTCTTTGTCTCAGGTTCCTGGCTCAGAGCTCCAAAAACCTTTGAGATTTTCTGAGTGGTAGGAGTGTCTGTATTATATTAAGGAGGCAACTGTGGGCAGGGGTTCCCCACATAGCTTCAGAACAGGGGACTGAACACCTTTGAAAGACCAACTGCATGATTGGATTGGAATACTCAGCTGCCCAACCTCTGGGGAGGGGAAGGAGGCTGACTGGAGACTGAGTTCAGTCATACGGCCAGTGATTTAACCAACCATGCTTAGGTAATGAGACCTTAATTTAAAAATCTGGAGAACCTCCAGGGAGCTTCTTGGTGGGGAACAGAAGCTACTATGTGGGCAGCCCTCCCAGATCTTGCTCTATGGATGCCTTCATTTGGCTTTTTATTGCTGTCCTTTATAATAAGATGATGTCAAACGACAAAACTAAAACAATTTAGTAACGAGTTTGCTGTCTGTTATTCAAGGGAAGACAACCCTTGATCTGGGGGAGGACAGAGCCTCACAAGGGTGGAGCGCTCTTCCTGAGGGATTTGGGGCGAGAGCGAGTTTTAGAAGAGGCGATGCAGAAACCTGGCATGACTGACTAGAAAGTCAGGGATGTCCTTATAAAGCCAGCAGGCACTGTTTTCCATGGTAAGGTCAGCTAGCTGAAGCTGAGTTGGAGGATTGTCATTGGTGTATGTTAGGTTTCCTTGCAGGGTGTTTCACGTAAGAGCAGTCTAACTTAGGTTTAGATTTGTGATGCGGGTCGGGCTACTGGGGTGGCCTCTGTTTTAGGGGTCCCGATAGACAAATTAACTTTATCGAGGATCGTCATACATACAGTACTTTCCTGAGTTCTGTGAGTCTTCCCAGCAAATATCCAGCCAGAGGGGATTGTGGGAAGCCTTAAATTTGTAGCTGGCTGGCAGATGCCTGGGTTTGGGAATGCCTGCCTTGTAGGTGGTGATTTGTGACTGGGGGCAGTCTCGGGAAGGGCCTTGCCCTTAACTTGTGCGGTCTGTACTAAGCAAAGAAAGTCAGAATTACATGGAATTGCAGGACACCCAGCTGGTATCAGAGAATTGTTGACAGGGTGCAGTGCGGGAGTCCTTTCAGGTTTCGCTACTGTGTCCCTTTGCTATGTCCCCAGGTTTTTTTTTTTTTTTTCAAGATTTTATTTATTTGAGAGAGAGTAAGAGTGTGCCCGTGAGCGCACAAGCAGTGGAGGGGCAGAGGGAGAAGCAGGCTCCCCGCTAGCAGGGAGCCCAATGCGGGGCTCCATCCCAGGAACCTGAGATCATGACCTGAGCAGAAGGTAGACCCTTAATGGCTTAACCAACTGACCACCCAGGCAGCCCCCAGTTTTTTGTTTTTTGAGCACTTCCTTACTCTTACATTTTGTCACTGCAAGATGCTCCAGGCTCATCTTGTATTTTCCCTGCTCCTGCCATAGATTCAGCCATATCTCCAAGGAGGCTTTGATTAGAGAACAGTGTTAGATAAAAGATGTGGGTGCTGGGTGTGCTCCTTTCTCCTGGCATTTCATTGCTGTTAGGCCCTCTGAGTAGACCTACGAGATCTCTTTACACATATATCTGTAGTTCTCTTTATCCACCTGTCTACTCGTGTCCCCACAGCTAAGTGTGTGTTCATATGTCCCTGACTCTGATCCAGGACTTCAGGGTTCATTTAGCCTTCCCCCTTGCTTTTCTGTACCTATCTGCATTTATCGAGTGTTATGGCACGACATGCCTATGAAGTTTTGCATCCTCCACACTCCCATGCTCTCTGCACACCACCTCTAAGCCCCTCCCTCTGTCCTCATTTGTACCCTGGTCTACAACATGCCTGCACGTGCCAGCTCTGCCCGGGCAATGCTCACAGCACTCTAAAATATTGCATGTGGTAAGTATCATCTTTGTGGGTTGTTGCAGGGATGGAAGGAGTGAAAAAGGTGGAAAGTGCTCCTCTCCCCCATCTTCAGGCATCCACGGTCAGGAGATTCCTGTATTCTCCCACATCTGAGCACATTGAGATACACATGTGCATGCTGACTATGAATGCGATCCCATACGGGGGACTGGGGACGTGAGTGCAGGGGTGAGGGTGTGTAAATGTGAGTGTATGCTTGTATTTGATGAATGTGTGCATGAGTGTGGGTTTGCTGTGGAGTGTTTGTGAGTGTGTATACCTGTGTGAGGGTATACGGCTGTGCATTTGAGTGTGTTGTACGTATGCGTGGGTGTTTGCACCTGCGTGTAATGTTTGTGTATTTGTGTGTCTGGGAACTAAGGGTTGTCCACCACTATGGCTCTGATCTCCGACTTGGGTATCGGAGTATTTGATAGTGGGCATGGACCAAATTGTGTGTTTGTGTGTAGGGAAAACGAATGATTACTTTGAACTCAGGTTTCTTAATTAATTATAAAAGCAATCAGAGCTGATTACTGAAAACTCGGCAAAAATATAGCTGTGGAAGGATGTGGTAACCACCCAATGC